TGTATTTTGAAATTAAAAATAAAATAAATGAAATTAAACTTAAATTTTTATGTATAACATTAAATTATAAATGTAATCCTTGTAATAGTTATGTCTTGCATTTTATAATAATACAATTTATTATTAATAATTAAGCAAAAACTCTAACAAAAAAAAAACCTTTGAACCATTTTTGAACTGGTGCAAACTGGTTCAGATTAGTTCGGTTCCAGTTCGGTTTGGATTGAAGTTTTTAATTTCAGTTCCAAACTGAAACGTGCTTTAAATTTTGATTCAGTTTCAGTTCAATGTTAGAACTGAACCGAATGGTTACATTAGGAGCTTTAATCTCTAGCACAAATAACTCATTAGTTAAAAATAGCTCATAGAATATCCTGGAATGTGACTGAAATTTCTGGAGTTTTCTTGAGATTAGTAATTATAGTCTTGCAACAGGATGATAATTTTGTATAAATAGAGGTAGCTTTTGTCCTTATGGTTGAACAGTTAGAACTTGATTATATCCTGAACTCGATACTTGTAATAATAAAGTCTTTGTGACAATTTGGTAATTTAACCTTCTGAATTCTTAGTGAAATATCTTCATAATAATACTCTGCTTCATGATCTCAATATTATTCTGCTTATAATTAACCTTACTTCGTGATCTGGATTAATTATATTAATTCTGTGTGAATTCTTGTAGTTTCTGTATGAAACTTATAATATTCTGTATGAATATCTGTAAATTTAGTGTTATATTAATAATGTAAAATTCCATAACCCTTTAAATCCTCACACCTTAGCCTCTTTCGAAAAAATTCACAACACCAAATCCTTTATCTTTATACTTATAGTATAAACCTTCCAACTTTAACATATCTGTCTAATTGCTTCATGACCTTTTAGACAATAGTTTCTCTGTTATTAGTTGTTAGTTAATTATGTTTAGTAAATGTAATCATGGTCAACAATGTTATTATTCAATGGAATTAATAGTAAGTTTTTCAAATTTTTAGTTTCGAATAAAAAATAATCAATGAAGTGTTAAAAAATTAATTGCCAATTCGCCAATCAATTGGACCACCTAATCAAAATTTAATATAAAATTTTTGTGTTAATTAATACTAGTAAAATGCGCTTTTCGTTGAATCTTCATGTCCTCTGTCCAAAATTATAAAAGACAGCTATTAACTCCAGTATTATTGTTCAGAAACTATATTACGGACCTTTTGCTATTAGTTGGTGGATTTTTATAAAAACAAAAACAGTTCAAAATAAACAATGTATTCCAATTTGCATTAATATAAGAATCAAATTTGAACTTAACCAAGAAAAATTTATTATTTGAGTGGTTGATAATAATTGGAAGCCTGGTTATGTATGTGAGTTAGATATGGAAGTTATAATTTACTCAACATCAAGTGCAGCAATTAATGAAACTTGCAAAAAAATATTTGATGTAAAGACGCGTTTTTCTGGACCAAGTGTTTTAGGCTTTGATAATGAAATAATGGCTGAGCAGTTACAGGCTGAAATTTTATTTTTTCCATTTTAAATAATTATCTATGATATTATTATTTTTGTGATAGCACTTGGTAGTTCAGATCAAGCGGAATGGAATTTTGCAGGTCCTGATTATTGTTCATAATTTTTTCATAAGTATTGTGGATAATATTCTTTAATATACCAATCAATAATGAATACTGAGTGTAGAATAGATATATATTATCAAGAAAACAAAATTCAAACTTATACTGGAGAATCCCCAAATGACGTGTGGACAAAACTGAATATTTTGAAGAATTATAATGGCAAAGATTTATTTGGATTATGCAATCAATTTGTCATACAAGCTATTCAAACTTATATAAACGTACTGTATTGCAAATTGTGTGACTGGAACAATATCGAAATAATGATACATGCCTTTGAAAATATTTAAAAAGGAGAATATCAATTGTTGACTTAGATTGGTACCTGTTTTTTGCTAAATGGAAACAAAAATTAACAATTATCATCGAATTTTCCTCCCATCTTGTTTTTATATATCCAGCGGATTTTGAAATTACCAATACTATATTAGGAGCATGGAGATCAATGATACGATATGTTGGATGTATTAATATAACACCTTATAAAAAAAAAAGAATCGAATGTAAGTTGTTAATCACAGGATCGTTAGTATTATATATAAACTAATAACTTATCTCATATAATAGCTTGAGTTTTGGACGTGTGCAGAAGATCCATCAAGTGATCATGCTTCAATACTTTATTTATATACAAATAATCTTCTAAATAGTATTCCATACAATCCATTAGAGGCAAAAATATTCGTAAAGAATCAAGATCTTCAAAATAAAGTTGATCAGTTTTGGAATTGTTTCAATACTTCTATCAAAATGAACAAGTGTGGCTTGGATAGTAAACAAAGAATATTATCAGTAATTGTCAATGATTTCGGGTGTCATGGAATGCAAGAAAATTTGAAGGTGAGTTTAAAAAATCTTTTATTAATCTTTAGTAATCAAGCCTTTTTGCTAACAATAATATACTAAATTTTTTAGATTTCAAATGATTTGATGAATGCAGCAAGAAAATATTCACGAACCAATGGACCTGGTTGTATTGCTATGAGCAAACCTATAGTAACTTGAAGTTGAATATCAGAAGTCAAAAATCCGGAGTTTGAAGTATTCTTTACAGATAAAGATAATGTTTCTATGAGTTCTTACAAAGTTCATTCAAAAACTAATCTTTCAATTCTTTATTTAAAAGACAATAAAGAAGCACTTTGGAAAAAGTATGAAGTAACTTATCCAGATGGAATTAAACAAACATCATTTATGGCACAATTGGAAAATGGACAATATATTTATCGAAATGATCTAGGAGGCTTATGTAGTATTTGTAATGAATATTTTTATGAAGTTTTTGATACATTGATTAGTTTAATTCGATTAAACATTGCTAATCAAGAAGAAAAAGTAACTATTATATTTCTTTTCTTTTTTTTTGTATATTTTATTTAAAAATAAAAATTTTTATTTTAAAATTATATTATTTACATTTTACAGAATAAATTAATTATAGAATTAGAAAAACTATGTATTAATTAAAGAAGAGGATTTGAAGAAGAACTTATTATGAATCAGGATAGTACAACAATGCATGTAAACACAATTAATCACTGTTTACTTTATGCATTTGGTGAATGTCATGAACAACATACTGATCGATGTGCTGCATGTGATCAACTATTTGGATTTATTCAACATCTTATGATTAATCTCAAGGAACACCATTCAGCTATTGAAAAATGTCAAGATAAATTAGACTACTTTTTGGCACATCAAGCAAGAAAGGTATATTTAAATAGTCAATTCAAAGCTAGACTTGCAAAGTTAGACAATGATAGAGTAATTTTAGTATGTGATTATAAAATACATATTTTGCCTAAAAGTGCACGAGAAACTAAAGAACAATTCTTTGGAAAGCGTGAGTGGAGTTTGCATACAATTTTAGTATTTACAAAATCTAATATCAATCAACTCAATATTCAAGCATTTGATTACTGGAGTACTGACACTAAACAAGATGCTTGGTTCACTGTTTCATTCATTTGATTCTGTCTTTAAAACTCTTGATCCAAGACCACAATGGATTGAAATATTATCAGATAATGGTGTCCACTATCATAACTCTGAATTAATTACTACCATTGCTAACTGGTATTAATAGTATAATATTGAAATTCGTGGTTGGTATTTTCTTGAACCTGGAGAAGCCAAAACAAGTGTTGATTCTTATCACGCTCAAGTAAGTTTTGAAAATTTTATATTTTACTAAATTAGATAATAACTTCTTTATTTGTTAGATTGCACATGCCATAAAAAGATATATTCGTATTGGACATAATTTAGATGAGGGAGAAAAAATACAAGTTACAATATCTGATTTAGGAGGAACATCAGTTGCAAATATAGAGCCTACTTGTGATAATCATAATGTTAAAACAATTGCCGGTATTACTCAATTGTTTTATTTTGAATGGCCAATTAATGGTGATTATGTTGGATATATACAAGCTCAAAGCTTGCCACATATTGGATCATGGTCACAATTTTCATCTTTTGAAACATCAAAATTAACTACAACCCCTATAAATAAACCAACACCCAAAATTACTTCTCATTTGATTCCAAAAAATCCATCAAACTTTCTACTATCTCATATTCAAGGTAATAATCAAAAATTTTATTTTTTATTTTTTATTATATATTTTATACAAGGATAAATATTACATAAAATAGAAAATGAAAAATAAAATATTTTTTTTACTATTTTTTAGATACAAATAAATGAAAAAAAAATAATAATAATCAAACTTTTTCATTATTAGGTATATATGATGTAATAAAATTTTGTTTTTTTTTAAATATAATTTGTTGATTTATTTATATTATTTTCAATATAGCTGTAGAAGAAACATTTGAATTGAAAAGAGGTTGGGTATTAAAAAGTAACCAGAAATATGAAAAAAGAGGAGCAGGAAAACGGATGACAAAAATGGTAAATCTTACCTTGAAAGTTATTTTTTGGCAGGTAATATGAATAAAACAGATCGGATGACAGCAAAGGACATGGTAGAACAACTTCAAATTCTTGCTAATGAAGGTGAAATTCAAGTTGAGGATGTTTCAGAAATAACAAAAGTTGCAAATTGGATTATACGGTATGCAGCAAGCCTGAAAAAATATTCAGCGGAGACATTAGTAGAAGGAAGTAATACCATCAGAAATTTAAATAATAATTTTCAAGAAATGGAAGAAACGGAAGAAACAGCAAAATCCAGTAATGAAAAAGGTAAAAAAGTTGTTTATAGTAATAATAATAATATAAAACGGCAGAAAAAAAAATAATTATAAAAAAATAATAATGACATTATTTCAAAATTTTGGAATCTCACTATATATGTAGCCTCTAAAATCTCTATGTCCAATATAATAAAGTTTTTATTGAAAGTTCGAAAATATTTTATTTTTAAATAATGTTCATTGTTTAGTTTCTGTGTATTATTTTACAAGTTTTTAATAAAATTACATGATAATTTGATCCAATCTATATTAGAGGAATTTTGGTAACTGTGTAATGTTAATATATTGATCGCCCAATTGCATTACTAATTAATCTCACCGATTAACTTACGGATTAGCAATTAAGTATTTTATTTTTTTATATAAAGAATAGAAAATATTCTAGTTCACAAGTAGCACAGACCAAATGGAAAATATCATTTAAATTATATTTTAGTTTGTTTTTAATACCATTTTTTTTTCTCGCAAGCTTACTAAATTGCATGATTGGAAATAGTTTTTAACCATCAAAATCTTCATGTGATTTCATTAAACTGCTTTGAATTTCTATAATATCTATGCAAATATCTTATATAAAATATGATTTATTTAAATGTAAAGATAAAACAATAAATATAATAACTGATAATAAAAAAAAAATTGTTAACATGACACAAAAAGTAATATACACATAAGTAATTCTAAATAAGAAATATCTACCAAGGACATGTCAAAAAAAATTAACTCTTCGATTAAAGAACAATAAATAAAATGCAATTTTGATAATAATAATAAATGTTAGTAAAAAAATGGAAATAATTATTATTTGTAGGAAATTACTAAATAAAATTTTAAAGAAATTTAAATTTTAGTAGTATAGAATTAGTGACATAATGAAGAGTCATTTGTTAATAGATAGGATTTCACCTTTTGTACTGAATTCAGTACACATTTAAAAAATTCACTGAACACTCAAAAGTTAATAAATTTGCAAGATTTTTTATTCAAAAAATTGTTATATGTTCCTTTATACACAAATGTAATTTCCATTTACATTAACAATATAATTAACAAATTATGAAATTTTAAAGTCACAGTATAATTTTGTAAAATGGATGTACTAAATTCAGTACACAATTTTCAACTATCTTGTGACTCATTGAAAAAAATTATTAGCTGTGCAATTGAAAATTGATAAAACAGACATAGAAAAATATATAAAAAAAATATTTACCTTGTACAAACTATATTATGTGAATTATGAATATGATTATTCAAGCAATTTGTACACATAGCCTGTGGTATAGAGCAGCTACAACTAGTGAAAGTAGTTTATGACAACTTATGCAATGGTGTTGAATATACTTTCCTTTAATCTGAGAATTTGTAGAATCATTCTTGATACTAATGAGATTATGCTCAAGGTTATTTGAATCCTGATTTTTTTCTTTTTTTAGTTCTATCTGCAATGGTTCCTTCCATTTTTTCCATTGAATAATAGTTGAAAATCGAAGTTACTAGTTTTTTACGAAAATCTACATGTTTCATATTTTTTTTACCTGGAACAACCTGACAGTATACAGAATAACTATTTGCCTCTACAGCTAAAAAATAAAAGGCCAGGATATGATTCTGGAACATTTTGTTGTAAGAACATCATGATAAGAAAATGCATTATCTTTTAAATTATTGAATATATTCATAGTCAATCAATACTCATTATATTCATCAAAAATGGCAGGGCGACGAAATTTTACATTATCATGTTCCTTTATATATCTAGTTATTTCAGTTTTAAGGTTTGTTGTAGAATAGCTAACAAATAGAACAATATTTTTACAATAACAATAGAACACAAGGTAAGGTCAATATCATCAAATTTTCCTGTTCAACTAACAAATGATCCATAAACACTTCCAAGAGCATCTGTAATATCATGAGAAATGTTTTTTGACCAATAATGACATTTTTTCAATTATAAAATAGAATAAAAATCATGTTTATATAATGAAGTGCAAGCATTTACACTACCAACCCATGAATCTGCAATAATTGTTCTTTCACTATTGAACATAACCTAGTTAATAGTAACATAGTTACAATTGTTACTGAATATTCAGAAAATTTCTTTTTATTAGCATGCTCTGGAGGTTCTACAGGATCCAATTGCACTAATAAATTAATTCGTGCATCAGCAACAGTTTTAAATTCACAGTCATTTGGATGAGCTTTTCTTGATATTTTTTGTTAAAATGGGCCTTTATCAATTTTACCCATCCATTGACACATTGATTTGTCAATACAAAGAAAACTACTAGGTGTAATGGCTTTAGCAAGATTTTCATTAAATGTATTATGAAATTTCCAAGCAAAATGAAAAGGATCGTCATCATCTGTTGTTACATCCATTAATTTCAAATATTTAACAATATCTCGAAATTATCTATGTGACATATATTGATCATATTCTAATGCAACTCCACCTTTATCTGGTACTGTTAGCCAATAATCGCATATATCTGAGCACTGAACATATGTCATGATTGTTAAAATTCCATTAAATCACATAAATTCCATCCAAGTCAAGTCTTTCCAAAATCGTTTGCTTGCATGTGTATGTTTATTTGTAGAAGGTATTACAGTTGACATAATATATTCAACTGGCAAAAAACGTTTAAAAAATTATCTTGGTGATGCATGTTCAATATTTGAAATATATACAATTGGTACACCTGAATAAGATCGATCAACTTGGCGAGAATCATTAATGACGTCCACATTTGTCCATAAAATTTTGTTCCTGTTGCTAACATTTGTTTCCTCTTCATTTTGTTCACTATCACTTGAAATGCTTGTCTCTGGTTCAATAATAATTAGCTTCTCGGGTACATTATTATTTTCATTATTTAAATTATTATTGGTAACACATACACATTTCATACGACCCATTGAGACCTCAAATTCTATCTCCAGATTTGCATCAAGACTAATAACTCAACAATTTATATCAGGTGCTGCCTGTAGAACTGTAGCAGAAATTCTTTTGGTTTTTCACATGTCTCCTACAAGTGGACGGGCAATTCCTTCACCTACGACACTACCCAAAACAGTGTCTTTAGCATCTTCTTTAATATTTGATGAAATGCATCCCATATGCAAGTTTTTTTAAAAAAAAAATTGCACAAAAAAAAATAGAAACAAATGTACAAAAAAAAAAGAGATGCTACAAGATTGTACAATATCTGTAGTAGAAAATTCTGGAATTTTTTATATATTTTTTATATATTTTTTTGATCATATTTTATTAAAAAACTTTTTTTTTTTAATCTCGAACCTCCTCTTTCATTTGAATTAAGGGGTAAAGTCATGAGCCAAAAATAAATTATTTATAATCAGTTATTTATAATCATTCGAATATCATATTTATCAAATTAGCACTAAAAAAATATTACCAAATATAACTTAAAAAACTTTATTCTGTTATTGAAATGATTGAGATTGCATGTATACCATTTCGAGTTAATACTGCAGAAGAATTTGAGCCCACGTGAAATCCTCACATAAAATATGTATTGTGACTGGTGGTACGTGACAAGCTACTTAAGGTAAAGATAATTATATAATATGAAGTCAGGTGACTTCTTCGATCAGTAGATATATGGCTTCAAAACTGTCAGAATTCAGTACAGTGAAATCCTATCCATTAATATAAATAAATATAAATAAAATTATTAATAATAAAATGTAGAAATGTTAGTAGTAGTAATTATTAGTAAAAAAAAAAATTTAGTATAAACCAGTTTCGTTAGTATTAAAAATAATTAATGTAATTAATGGAAAAATTTGTTAGTACAAATAATTAGTAAAATAGTGATATAATTAATATAATCGAATAGTTAATAAAATATAAATCATTAGTAAAAATAAAATTTTCATTGTTAGAAAATATTAAAATCTCAAAAAATCCGTTGATAAAAAATTAGATTGAATCATTGTGCTATACATAAGGTTGTGCTTTAGTCAAATTAAAATACGAAGCTATGCTTGTTTAAAAGAATTAGAATACATGTGTTAAATGAAATTGAAAGAAATGTATGATTTTTTTTTAAAAAATGTTATATTATATTACATGTAAATCTCAAGCATTACTGTAATGTAAATATAAACTTATGAAATATTACAGTAGCCTTGTGCAACTTCATGTGGAATGAAAGAAGCTTTACACGTGAGCAGATTATATCTAAAGTAAGCTATAGTCAAGGTTAGAATTTATCCATTTTTAAAAAAATAGTGTGAATAAATAGAAAATTTTATTGTGAATCTCCATTATTTTGCAAAATTCAATAAGTTATCTTGATTTAATATGTATATAATTAGAAAATATTCTTTATCTATGATATTAGAGATTTGAATTAAAATAATTTTTTTGCATAATTTAAAACTTCTTGTATAATACAAATACTAGTGTTTATGGGTTAAGAGTAATTTAAAAATAAATTATTTATTTTATATTTCAAAAATTCAGTTTATTATTATATGAAATTTTTTGTGTAGTCAAAGCCATTGATTGATCAATATATTATCTCTTCTTTACAATCTTTGAACTAATAAATATTTATTTCTTATAGTATTACAATAATTAATGAGATTCGACTAAAATATCAAAAAAAAAAAATTCAATTTTATTTTGTGAAAGAATTTAATAGATATTGCATCTTACATATTTTTTTGTAATTAAATCAAATATCTTTGTTCATGTTATGTAGCTAGTATTTAAATATTAAACATGTCTGTTTATTGAGGAGAGTGACAATTTGTAATAATAACGTTTGTAAATAAAATTTTTTCTAATCTTTTAGCAATCAAAAATTTTGAATCCGAAATTATCAATTGCGTAAAATAATAATAAATTGTCAATCAATGAAAGTTAATTGCATATAATAGCTACTAGTATTAATTTAATACATATTTATTATTAAAATAGAGAGCATTATAATTACGTTTATGATCATTGTTCCATTCATATGATTAAATAGATCGATATTGTTATTCGACATTGTTAAATCACAGTGTGAATATTAACCAATAAAATAAAGTACATGATTTAATAATAGACACATGATATCCAGGTTATCAAAATTTGCCCCAGTATCGCTATAAAAAAATTTCATCCCCATGAATTTTAGAATTTTATTGGTGTCAAGTTCATGTGACAAATGCTAGGTGACATTTATAGTTTCTGCATGTAAAAGTTCCAAGTCCCTAGAAAATTGATATTTGAATGGTGTGACACACAGTGATGAATATATAAACCCATGCATTTAGGCACGTGGGGTGAAATTTTTTATGGGTAAGATGTGATCGAAATTATTTCACCTATGATAAATATTCGGTGACGAATATTATGTGACAAATATGTAATTCTCATGTAAAAAAACCTAGGATATCTAATAAAAATTGATATTTGAAGGGGTGACGCACTTTGATAAATACACTACCCTTGAAAAATCTTAACCCCTACAGTACAGGTTAAATTTTTTGCTTTGTTGTGTTGTTTATCTTGATTATTGTGTTGTTTATCTTGATTATTGTGTTGTTTATCTTGATTAACAAATCGCGACTTGATTGTTTCACAAACCCTCAAAATTAATCTATATAAATGGTTCACTTTTTCAAATTTCTTTTTTTTCAATTTCATTAAAAAACCATGGCAAACTTTGAATTCCAACAAGCGTTTTTATATTTTATTAATAATACCAATAATTTTGATAATAATAATAATGAAATAGAAGGTACCTTCCTATATACCAGCAATGCCAATAATAATGTCAACAATAATAAGAGAAGGAGGCGCCGCCCAGACCACTTAAAGGCATATGAAATATATGGTTTAAAGAAAAGGAGATATAATCGATAAGCCTGGTATGTATAACAATATTAATACTCTAGTATATTATTTGCTAGCATTTTTAAATATTTACAAATCTCTTTAGGTTTTACTTGAAAAAAAATAAATAAAATATAAAAATATAAAAATATGTATAGATCCTTTAAGTAAGTATGATTTCTTTATTATTATCATTCAAATTATTTTTATTACATTTGTAAAGAAAAAGACTAAACAATGATTCTTTCTTTAGGTTGTTCTGGGCGTGTCATCAATCGTATGTTATTTACTTTATATATTTATATAGACATTTTCTTTTTTTACTTCCTTTTTCTTTTTTTTACTATCCTTTTCATATTATATAATTATTATTTGATTTTGTATATATATTTTATTAATAAATGAATGTTAAACAAATATTTTGATAAAGAGCCTGTCTCTAGTGTAGTTGAATTAATCCATCCATACACGAATATATATTTTATATCTCACAGCATTCCAAATTGATTGTTTTTGTGTACTTTGTTCTTTCATAGATTAACTTGACAAGGCAAGTACTTTCAAACATTCCTCGCTTTATTCAAAATGAGCTTTCATTAATGATATGTAACTATAGATAGTTTAAATTTAGTTGTCAACATCTGCAGTTTCAGTGATTTTAGTGGTTTCCCTTTCCTCCTCTTCTATCAAAAAGTCTTTAATCAAGATTTGAATGGAATAGTAAAAGATTGGTTAAACAATTATTTACCATCTGTTACAATCGATCAATATGTATATGTACACAAAAAAAAACTAAATTCGAAACAATTCACATACATTCTGACCATTTTGTTGAAGGAGCTTTCTTCATCTGTCAGACTGGGAACTTGTAAGATAGGCTTACAATTATTTGTCATAAACTTTCTACCTTCGACCGAAGACCATTCTTTTGTGCCAGCAGACAAGTCATGCAATATGGGTTTTTTCATGGCTGGTAGGTTCTTCTCTTTGTTAACTTTGAATTTCCAGATTTTTTTTACCGAATCCTAAAACCATAGATTGACTATTTTTGGGATATATAACTTTTTTCACCCGCACATGCTTATTAGTCTCTACAATGGGTTTTGGGTTTCCGAGCATATGTAAAGGAAATGAATTTTTATTCGTGATGTTACCAGATTCGAGGGCAAATCTGACTTCTATTTTTATTGAGTGCAGAATCACGGGATACTTTGAGAATTTGTTATCATCGGGCTGTATTTTTTCCGGTAAAAATATTTCCTTTAGTGGATTTTATTATAGACTCGCCTGCTTTTTTTTCTAATTCGAAAGCTTACTCCTATTTCCAATCAATCTCATAATGTTAAACGTATTTGGTCATTTCTTCCACAAATATAGGTCCTTTGATCTGGGATAATTATCAACATAAGCTGTTTTAATTCTAAAGGCTTTTGCTAGTCTCGTTAGGCAATACGTCATTCCAAAAATTAATTCGATTTTCTTAACGTAAAAGATGTTTTCAAACAAAAAAAATTTAATTAAATTATATCCTAATCTTATCTTTTTTTTACTTTAATTTTGTTTGCTAAATGAAGACTTTTGGTTGTTTTATTATATAGATTTTTTTCATGTACATAGTTATTAGTTGTTTAAGTTCAGTTTAGGAATTTTGCGAAGTAAGTAAAAAGACAAAAGAGATTACATTAAAACTTTTGTAACAAGTTAAATGGAACATTTGTCAAATTTAATTTATAATACGCTAAATCGTTTAAGTATTTATTATCTTTTCTACTATTTCTTTAATGTACAATTTAATCAAGCTGTATATTGTGTTAATTAAAATTTTTATCATGTAAACGTTTTTATTATTTATTAAAAATTTCGTATTGCATCAATCATATACAAGAAGTGGGAGAAAAATATTTTAAAGTTTAAAATACTTTGTTAAATGAAATATTTAATTAGCTTTGTTTGTACAAGACGTGAATTATTTCCTTTCTGTTGCAAATTCAGCACTTCCTTGCTTACCATATTCATCTTCTTATCATCATTATTGAACTCAAGATCTATAAACAAAGGAATCCATTAATGAGAGACATTATTAAAAGAACAGTACAAAAATGCATACTTGTATTGACTTGTCCTGAATTGCTATGTGAATTTTTTATTCTGCAAATATTTCTGATTTTTGTTATCATTCTCCTTGTTGCACTGACCAGCCTCAAGTACCTTACTTCTTTTACTTTTATTATTTATTATAAATTGAAAGCGTAATTCATTTGCTTTACTTATTCACAGAAAACAGTAATCTATTTTGTCACGAAAAAAGATGAACGAAAAAGAATGGGATACTTAGGACAATTTAAATATTGAAATGGAACTCAAAAAGAAAATATTCCATTCTTAATTTGAAAATGTGAAGTTGCTTAATGGAAATGTTTATAAAGCCACTTTTGAAATTTCTCAAAAAACTATTGCCTTAAATATATTTCTTTGAATAATAAATTTATATTCGACAATTTAATAAGTGAAGTAAGTTAAATTAAAATTAAATTTTTTTTCTATTGTTTGAATTTCTTTTAATGTTTTTCTATTTTAATATTATTAATCGAACAAGGTTAAAAGTTATCAAAAATTGGAAATTCATGATAATATTCTCAAGTTTTATGGTATTACTAAGCAAGGTATTTTATTTTTATAGAGAATCACAATCATTATATGATTATCCTTGAATATATTAATGAAGGTTCCCTTCGTCAATATTTAAAAACAAATTTTCAAACATTGGACCGATTAAATCTTTCCAAACAAATTGCAAATGCTTTGATGTATTTACACTCTAATGAAATCACCCATGGAAACTTGGTAATAATTGATCAAATATTCTTATTTAATGTTACGAATAAATTATTCCTAATTTAATTATTTTTATAATTAATTGATTAGAACTCCGAAAATATTCTTGTTCATAATGGAAGCATTAAATTAAATGTTTTTGGAATAGTTAATAGTTTATCTGAATGTTTGAGATTTTCAGAAATTAATCCAATTCAATATATGAATCCTCAATATTTGGAAATTTCTTATATGATTGGTAATAACAAGAGTTCAATATTTTCAGCCTGAGAATTATTCTCTGGGAAATTTATGGTGGTAACCATTCTTATGAAATGGAAACTTCATTAAGTGTTGGTTTATTAAACTTTGTGAAAGGCAGAAGGGAAATGGTCATACCTGGAACACCATCCAAATACAAGGAAACATATACTGGTATAAATTATAAATAACGTTTATATTATATATTTAATAATTTATTAAATCAATGACGAAAATGTTTTTAACAGATTTCTGGAAACACAATGGGCATTCACGACCAGACATTTCTACAGTGGTTAAAAATCTTTCTGAAATCATTATCTCTGATGCAAGTATCGAAATTGAAACTCCTCAGTCACAACCTTATAATTTCACTGATGAAGCTATTTCTGTTAAATCAGAAAAATCGGACATGTGAGATATATTTTTCCTGTATTTTTTAAATATAAGCATTTATTAAATTATTAAATTCTTTATTAAGGCGAAATTAAGAACTTAAAATTAAACTTGGTTCACCTTTTGTTGATGTCTCAGTTGATATTAATGTGTTCATAAAAGGTTTATTTGAATTTTTCATAATCTACGTGGAAAACAGTTTGGAGAAGTGTGCCTTATTATGATCGAAAATTATATTAGAGAACACAAAAAGAATCAAATTGAAATTCCATATAAAATGATTAGACATCCATCTCATCACTTGTTTGATTCTTTAATAGGATATTTTTATGAGTATAGGATTTGGACTGTTACTGATAAACAAATGGCATTTGACTTCTATAATTTAGTTGCCAATAAAGTTGAAACCTCTTTCTCTAATTCCTCATCTTTAGGGAAGTTATATAATAGTAACAAAGAAATCGGAACACTCTCTCTTGCGTATGTGTATTTAGATGGTCTAGGTGTTGAAAAGGATACAAAAAAGGCTTTTCGGATTTGTTATAATCTAGAGCTAAAGGACCCATTTTAGCTTTAAATTCCATAGGATATTGTTATCAGGAAGGAATTGGTGCTGAAAAGAATGAAGAAAAGTCTTTTGAATTATATTTAAAATTAGCTGAAAAAGGCTCTCTTACAGCACAAACAAATGTTCGTATGTGTTATGAACACGGAACAGGAACAGCAAAAGATGAAGCCAAAGGATTTCAATGGATTATGAAATCTGCTCTTGCAGGAAATATTGATGTTGGGTGCTTCTATAAAAATGGTATAGGCGTTTGTAAAGATGGAAAAGAAGCAATTAAATGGTTTTTGAAGGCTGCTGAAAAAGGATTTTCTATGGCACAGCATAATTTGGGAATTCATTATAAATTGGTGACGGAGTTAATGCTGATCAATTGAAAGCATTTGAATGGTTTAAAAAAGCTTCAGAAAATGATTCTGATGCCCAAGGTAGACTCGGAGAATGCTTTTATGAAGGACGAGGAACTCAGAAAGATATTGTAAAAGCTGTATACTGGCTAAATAAAACAAAAGGGAATGGAAATACAGATGTGGAATAATTACTAGAAGAAATAAGTTATTCGATAATGTATTAGTTAAAATAAAAAAGATATTAATTAAATCTTCGTTTTTATTATCAAGATGATTATTCTATTAATGTACATGATGTTATTTTTATAATAGCTCTTCAATATCTACGTTAAACATCACATCGAATAGAATAGTAGAAGTTTATTATCTATAGTTATTATTGCGACCATGTTTGAATTTAATGTTATATTAAAATAAATTTTATATAATTAAAAGTATGTTACAATCACTTTTCCTATTATGTAAGCGTACTTTATATGTATACACGAGAAGTTATCTTTCTTTTTAGAGACATTTGATAGTTAGATGTTTTCACCAGGACAAAGTTCGGTTTCAATTCAGTTCAGCTAAATATTACTTTGAATGAAATTTCCTCAATTAACTTGTGCATTGCTCTAATCATACGAAGCATGACAATAATTTTACTATAAAGTTCCGAATTTTTCTATTATCATATATTATAATCAAAATAAATGCCACGAAGTAAAAAAGGATAGATAACGATAATTTTTTAAAATTGTTATATATGTTCTAATTTGTTCTATTTTTATAATAAATATTTTTTAGCGTTATTCCAAAAAAAAAAATTGTTTTTAAATTGATGATCTTTATGAGATTTTAATTTAACTCCGCAATTTAAATTTATTATCGTACACCTTCTAGTATCCTAACTGGTTTAAATTATTAAATCAATTATGATAAATTAATGCCAAGTATTTTTGAAATATACAAAAAATCAAAAAATATTTATTCTTTCACAATAAACTATTGACAAGAATGAAATTTTTACGCTCACGCTAAATTAAATAAATGAATAAAATTTTTATTAATGATTGCTGATCTATCAATATGACACGTGAAATAAACCAATATGACGAATTTTGGATACATTAAAACAAGGCAAACAATAATTTTTATTAAATAATAATAGTAACCAATCTATTATAATAATTTAAATTTTTTTTTTTTGATTTATAAAGTACAAATTAAAAATCTAAATTAAATATAATATATTATATCCATCCAACCTATTTATATATAATATTCACTGCTCACATTCTCTCCCGTTTGTATTATATGAAGAATGATTCAAAAAATTAACTATTTATTTTTCAAAAAATTAATAAATATTTAGATTCTGTTTAATAAATAAATAATAAATTTTAGTGCTTTAGTATTAACATAATCATATAAGCTAAAATACCATTATTTTTTCAAAAACATTCTCTTTCTTAAAATAGTATCGACTCGCAAATAATAATTTATTATTATAAATAATAGTAATAATTATAATGAAAATAACAATGATTAGTCGCATCTGATTTAATATTTTACATATTATCATAGTTCAGTAGTTTATTTATTTTTACATTTCTTTATAATATTAGGTATAAAGTGTGAATTCTTCAAAAATTACATTTTAATTAGAATAAGGAATTTAATGATGTTATTTATAATAATCCATATTTAATTTAGATAAGCTGTGATTAAACCAAATTTTTTTCAATACAGCTGCCTTTTCAATTGGAGAATTTGAAATTTTAAAGTTTTGCAAAAGAAACAATTATAAAAATAATTATCTTTCTTTGTGTAAGTTTAACATTGCTTGAAATGTCCTTTTTAAAAAATTATTTAATAAATATTTTTGCTTTTATTCGAAATAATTCTCAAGATGTTTGAAAGAACTACAAGATCCATTTTTGAGATGATAATATTATTAAAACGTAAAATATATATTGGTATTTTAGACAACTGTCCAAGTTTTTATTACGTCACTTGGATAATTTTAATAACTTGACTATGATTTATTCAATTGTGCATAATGACTTGCAAAATCTTTGTGAACAAAGTTCTTCAATGTATATTATTTATCATAAATTTTATCTTCTTTCTATCTTATATTGTCGTTGATATTTAAATATAAACAATGAAACAGTTGATATATTAGAGTAAGCTAATGAAGATATGATAAATATTTAATTTAATAGTAGTAATATTATAATTAGCAATAACAAACATAAATTGGACTAGAGAGGAGAGATTATCAATATTAATAAATAATTTTAGTATTTGAGAGATCACGATTATTCAATAATAAGTAGATGAATTTTAAAAGTCACTGTGGGGTATCAAAAGTCACCGGGCAACTAGAAATTAAAACACAACGGGTGATCTAAATTGCACAAACTTTTAGATCTCCCTTAAACTGGAGCTATCTTATGATATATTTTCTGTCAAAATTGAATGCTTCAAATAAAACTGACAAAAAATAAAAAATTTTCTATTTAACGTTACCATACCGGACTCGATGATATTAAAGATAAATACCAACAATCTTATGAGAAATTGTAGCAAAAAATAATACTTTTTGTAGTATCTATTGAAAATTTGGACTTTACCTAGGCGTGAATAAAAACGGCTGAAATTAATTTAACAATAAAATAAGTACTAAGTTACATTAAAGCCGAGAATATATAACATCTTGTGAAAGTATTTAAACATATTTAATTAAAATTGAGCGAATAATTAGCGATTAAATTCCAGAGAATAATTTTCGAACGTCTGGCATACTGTACGGACGTTATATTAAATTTAATTCGTAAGTGACTTCTAAAAACATTATAAATGATGTTTCACATTCATAGCTATAATACTAATTAGTTATATATGTGTTGTTCATCTAATAAATAATGAACTTTAATATGTAGTAACGTTTGATAATCTTTTTCGGATTTTTTTAATATCAAAGATAAAATGATCGACAATAAATTTGCCCATCGAGCAAATTTCTAAGGCATTATTGTCGATCATTTTACCATTGAATGCTAAAGTTTTTAGAATTTTTACGAATTAAATTATATTCTCAGCTTTTAATAAATAAAAAAATTTTATATTTAGAAATAATTGATAATTATTTTTTCGCATTTTTTATTTTATTTTTTTAAAAATTTCGGCCGTTTTTATTCACGCCTAAGTAAAGTCCAAAGTTTCATCAGATAAACAAAAAGTGGTTATAATTATAGTTTTAAACATTATAGTTGGCAACAATTTTTCGTAAGTCAGTTGGCATCTATCTTTAATTCTTTGATATCCCATCGAATCCAGAACGGGTAAAGTTCAAAGAATTAATTTTTTTTTTTGCCAGTTTTATTTGAAGTGTAATTACTACACATGTAAGCATTCAATTTTGACACAAAATATATCTTATGATAGCCCTAGTTGAAGGAAAATCTAATGAACGAAAGTTTATGCAATTTAGATCACCCGTTATGTCTTAATGTCTAGCTGTCCGGTGACTTTTGATACCCACTGTACGTATGATAAAGTTATTGTCAATTATTTATTTACTGAGATATTCTTTATTATTGTATGCGATTATTATACTTGAAAGCACTAAATACAATAGGCAGTCACGAAACATTCAATCAACTTCCCCAATCAATTGATATTTTTATATATAAAGCTAAAGCATTTAAACCTATACCAAAAATTAAAATTCAGAGGCAAAATAATATTCTTGCCAATTCATCAAACATTGCAAGTGGAAACAATACAATAGATAAATAATCAGATGTAATTGTTATTCTTCTGTTTTATTATAAGAAATTATCAGTTCTAGATTTAATAGAAATGAATATTAATGAATATAAATCAAATTTAAATCAAATATTAGTGGAGTATATCAAAAAAAACAAAGAAATAAAAAGACCAACGTTCTGAAAACCGGAAACACCTATTGTAAGAATAAAACTTGTAAAAAGCATACTCCTCAAAATTTGTCTCAATACAAGAAGAGGAGAGTAAATATTCTTTGTATGCTAAAAAAAATAAAATTAATGCAAAAATTACATTTTTTTGAGATTAAATATATGTTTTTAAGACATTTATATATTATTTATATAATTTTATTTTTTATAGGTAAGGTAAAAGTGTAAACAGCAGATTATGGAAAATAAGTTTTTACATGAGAATTCGGTCCAAGAGTTGTGTAATGTCGATTACATAGTAAGTTGATTTTAAAACCGAAATTAAACTTTTTCGCTTTTATGCAACTTTCTTAAACTAATGATATACGCCAAAAAATGCGACCTATAAAAAGAGTTATTCAAAAATTATCCAATAATCAAAAAACTTTATCAGTACAATTTTAATATTGATATATGCATACAAATTTCATTTAAAAGAGAAATATAAAATAGATATAATAAAGTATTTTAGAAAAAAAATGACTAAAAAGTTCTCAGCGAGAAAAAAGTCCTCAATAGCTAATGTACTTCAAAAAAAAAACAAAAATAATGATAAAAATAAATTGATTCATTCCTACGAAGGTAACTATTTCATCACTCTCCTCAACTTGATATTTGTTCATCAGAAATCTGATCAACCGTATACCCCAAATTCCAAGTTGTCACGCCTGAGTAAGTGCCATAGGTATCTATTTTAAATCCTGTGTTCTTTGATTTAAGATGCATTATATAAGGTACGGTTAAATTGCCTTTGTTAATTGTTGCAACAGCAACTACTTTGCTTTTAGGAAGACAATTAACGGGAAATTCTGCTAAATAAATTTTTTCGGAACTTATTTCTTCGCCATAGGTATACGTATTACTAGTTGTTGTTACTTCAAGACCTATGTCCGCTTTCATTATTTCTGGAATTCCAACGCTGAACTCTGTTTTAATTGTCAAGGAGAATCCAGAAGTATGTTCGAATTTCGACGTGTGTCTTTGACTTTCTGATACCTTAAACGCCATCGTTTGTATTGCATCAGTATTATTCGTTAAAGTTTGTCTTCCGATATGTATGGATTTTACATTTAATACTTTCCCCTCATCAAATTTATAATCTACGCCTTCGACAATCATATTTTCAAATATAAAGGTCCAATATTGATCATCATATTTTGCGACACTTTTATAATGATAAAAATTTGGACTTGTAGAGAATCTGGAAAAAATCGCATACTTTGTAACATAATTCTCAATTCTGAAATATCCTGAGTGTTTTCCTGTTCCTGGAATCAAGGTCCAATACTGGTCATCATATTTATCGGCACTTTATAATGATAAAAATTTGGACTTGGAGAGAATCTGGAAAAATCGCATACTTGGTAACATAATTCTCAATTCTGAAATATCCTGAGTGTTTTCCTGTTCCTGGAATCAAGGTCCAATACTGATCGTCATACTTATCGACACTTTTATAATGATAAAAATTAGGAAATAAAGAATTTCTAGAAAAGATGGCATATTTAGTTTTATAATTTTGAAGCCTGAAAAAAAGTCCTTGGGGAGGTATGTAAAATTCCATCTTTACAATAGATAATAGATTGATAAGAAATTATACATATTAAGTTTTTTCAAAAGGTAATATTTTGTGTATTTATATACATACCTTTTAGGTTCAACCACTTGACTGATATGGTTGATATTTTCTTCCATATTTAAATTAAACATTTAAATTTTTATTAATATAAAAACGCCCAATTTGAATTTTTCTCACATTTTCAAAGAAATTGCTAAATTCTTTCTCATAAGTTTGCACAATAATGCCCTAGAAGTTGTAACACCTAGATTATGCAATTTTGATTAACAAAACTAGATCAGGTGATAATTGCATGACTTCGCCCTTGTATCATTTAAAGGGTTATATAGAAAATAAACAGATAAATAAATAAATAAATTTATTCCACATTTTGAAATCCAAATTTAGTGATTCATTGATGTTAATCCTTGTGTTTTGTGTAAGGGCACATGCAAAAATAATAGGAAATTGTTTTCTATTTATGTTTGTTTATTACAATTCTTCCATTTATATCTTATTTCTTGTTTTTCTTTATTCATATCAGTAATTATACCCATGGAACCATCACATATTTAAATTTATATTCTGTGTTGTTTTAAAACATGATTTTTGTACCAATCTGTAGGTTACAATCTTTAGGTAAATTCGTTTTTCTTTAAATAATTTAGTTGAGAATTTATTATCTGGTTTATATAATCTTTTGCTTCAGATATAAAATAATCGTTGTTCTGATTTGGTAACATGTTACATATAATTTGATTTATTTGTTCAGCTATTTTTTATAATCTATTATATGGATTGTGTTTATTGGATCTTCTAATGTTTTGTTAACTGTTTTGGTTCAACTTGTTGACATCTGTTTCAGATCAATTAGATATAACTCCTGTTATCACAACAGACAAAGGTGAGTTAATTTTGATGAATCCTCTTCCTTAAGATTTATGAAATCATTTCTGATGCAATACCTGTAAAAATTTTTTTAAAAAAATATTAATAATTATATATATTTGATTAAATATGGAAACTAAGTTATCACAACTCTCTTAACAATAAAAAGCATATATTATTTTAATTTCAACTTTGTATCATCAGAATTACCTCTGTAACAAAAAATCATCCTTGTATACTTATAACATCACCCTTTTCAAATGATCAATACTCACCTCTCAAAATTTCTTTGGGATAAAAAGTGGATATATGAGAAAAATGCTTCTATGGCATTGACAACAAAATAATCTATTCCTGAAACCTCTGATTGATGCAACAAATAGCACTTAAAAAATTAGCAAACAAATAGTAGAACTAGACTTCTATTTATGAAATTGACACAAATAATTAATATATAATATATTATTAATACTAATGAAAAAGTAAATCTAATATACTTTAATGATTCCACATGAACTAAAAACTTCAAAAAATAATTAATAATATAAACATATCATTAATGATAATGCCAAAAATAAATATTAAAATATTAATAAATATTAAATAATATATTTTAAATAGTGAAAATTAAAAAAAAAAGTTTATTATTGATTTTTTTAATTACTAACTAAAAATAAAAATGTATTATAATTTTTTTTATTGATTATTAACTATTAAAAAATATTTTATAATAATTTAATTCAAAAATTAAAGATATAAATTAGAAGCACCTTTTTTTAAAAAAAATTTTTCATTTTTTTTTGTCTCTTCCTCTTCTCTACAGCAACAGATTGATTAGTATCAGTAAAAACATTAATAATATAGTACATATATATGGATATAAGTAAATATAAGAAAATATAAATGAAAAATGACATTGTTAAATCACACTAGCACCAGCGTGATTATCATCCAATAAAAATAAAACACATAATTTAATTTCAGACACATGATGTTCAGGTGATCGATATTATTTCACATATTATAAATATTTGTTGACAAATATTATGTGACAAATATGCTTTACACATGTAAAAAAATTCTTAAGTCCCTAGGTTATCTATCAAAAATTGATATTTGAAGGGTGTGCCACATGGTGATTAATACACTACCCTTGAAAAACTCTAACCCTAGCCACTATAGTATAGGTTATGGTGTTTAACAACACTGGTGTGATTTAAAGTTTTTGATAAAAAATAATAAAATATACAAAAATATATAAATTTGTTAAAATTCTGCAAATTTTCTGCAAAAAAAAAATTCCGTAATCTTTCCACTAAAAAAATTACATAAATTTTGGATTTGAATCAAAAAAAGAAATTTTTAATAAAGTCTTGTAGTAACTTACTTTTTTGAATTGTCAGTGAAACCTCTTTTCAAATAAAAGCTTTAGATAATAGCATTATATGTACACATTTATAAATCTTTAAATAATATTTTTTTAGAATTGCAAAGTATGTTTTATTTTATATTTTATATTTGTATACTATACAAGAAAATCCAACCAAAAACTATATTGACTGATATCACAGAAATAAATATACTCATATAACAATAAATTATTTTACTAAAATTTTAGATAAATTTAAAATTTTTTAATATTATGCATCATTTATTTAGTTATATTATTATTATGCATCATTTTATAATTCACAAAAGTTTTTCTTTAAACCAGATAATCTCTACGAATATCGATGCTACAGGGATGAATCACAAATCATTTTGTCACTAAAAATAAGGCCATTCCGTCTATCTTATAAATGACTTAGTAGAAAAATTACTCTGTGCCTCAAAAATAGTGAGAATTCAAAAAGACAGAAAAAAATGCACAAAAACTTGTACATTTTAATATAAATTTACTTGTTGTATTGTTTTCAAATAATGCAGGAATTATATTTTATTTCACTGATTATGACATAAATAAAATGATTAAATAATTTAAATTTAGATCATAGATATGAATCCAATTTTTTTCCCATAATTTTTTTTGTATTTCAGCTCATAAAAAAATATTTTTATTAAAAAAATGATTTATTTTATTAATTTTATTTATTAATTTTCAAACACTAAATTCTTTATATTTTATTTATAGCATAAATTAGATACAATAATCAAGCAGAATTCTTTGCATTGATAATAGGTCTATGCATAAAACATTTGGAAAATTGAGCATTGTTGATGCAATATAAAATTATTTTTTACTGGGATTTTTTTTTTAAACAAGTTGGATGCATCTGAACAGAAGATTTTGTTAATGAAATAACTGCAACATTTGAATTGAAACCAATGAATTCAGATAACTTTTATTTTACATTTGCTATTTTTTCCATTTTATGTTCTTATTTCTTTCAAGTTTTTATCATTTTTTTTTTGAAAAATAAATGTTAATAAGAATATTCAAACTGACATAAAGATTTGGATAGTTGAAACAGTTGAGGCTGAAAAACAATTGAAAAATGGAATAACAAATTTTACTTTCGTTATTTCTTTTTTTAATTAATTAAATAGTTATTGCCAACATTTTGATGGAATAAGTAGATTTATTTCTATTATTTGCATTTTCCAATTAGATTTTTTAATTTAAATTTAATTTTTTTATCTAACAAATAAATAGTTAATTTACAAAGAATTTGGATAATTAAATTAATTGAATTTAAAAGTTGAAATCAATGGATTTAGTGAAGCAATTTTTATTTTTATTTTTGTAATTCATAATTTTTCTCAATAACATATTTTTTTCTTTTCTATCAACAAAATTCTTTTTAACACAATTTCTTTCTATACTAATTATTTCCTTTTATTACAAATTCTTTTTCCCTTTTCTTTTTCTACTAATTTATTACCATTTTTTTATTTTTTTCTAATCACTAATAATTCAATTTTTCTAATAATTTATATTTGCTATTTAGCAATTTTTGAATTATGATTTCTATTAATTTCTACTATGGTATGCGCAGTTTAAAGACATTCAAAAGTTGTTAGCTTTATTTTCATATTTATTTATTATTCTATATCTTTACATTTTATTATTATTACTAGTGTAAGGCCCGTACATCAGGCAGGGGGATTTTTTATTTATTTTTTATTTTTATTTTTTTATTGTTTTATCTTATTTACATATAAATATATTTTTTTGACTCTATGTTTTTGATTGTTGCTATTTAGTTTTGTGTTGGAGGGTGTCTGTTTCTAACTTTACATTTTGTACTGAGATCAGTAGCACATTTAATTGTAGTTGATATGACATTTATTGTGTGCATAACTGCAATGAGTTTGATAAATATTGGAGAATATTAAAATATTAATTAATAATGGTACTATATTTCATTTTATTTTTATTATTTTTACTTATATTAATCATTTAAATTTTTTTCTACAACATAAATAAACAGAATTTATATACAAAAACAGGCTTTTAATTTAAAACAATTATAAAATATTGAAACTTATTCATATATACATATTTATTAAACTAATTATACTGTAAAAAATTCGGGAGTATTAGTAATTAAAAAAATTCATGTTTCAATCCGTCTGTACGCCAGCTTATTAAAACAAATATTCAAGTACTTTCAATTAGTCACTCAAAGACAGTTTACTTTGATATAAAATGGAACTGTAAAAAAATTTGGGAGCATTTATAATTAAAGAAAAATTTGTATTTCAATCAGTTTACAAGTTAGCTTAGTGAAAACAAATATTCAATTACTTTCATACCTTCTAAACAGTTTTATTAGTTACTTAAAGGCAGTTTACTTTGATCAATGTATTAAAAATTATGTCTCAAAGTTCTGGAAGTATAAAAAATTTGTGAGAATTTATATTTAAAAAAATTCGTATTTAATCCATTTGCAAACCAGCCTCGTGAAAACAATATTCAACTACTTTCACACCTTCCCAACAGTTTTAATTAGTCGCTCGTAGGCAGTTTACTTTGTCCAATGTATTTGAAATTATGTCTCAATGCTCTGGATGTAAAAAAAATTCATTTCAATCAGTTTGTAAGCCAGATTAGTAAAAACAAATATCCAATTACTTTCATACCTTCTGAAAAATTTGGATTAGTTACTTAAAAGCAG